CAATCGGAGCTGGAAGGGACTTGCACAGGTGAGGATATTTTCAATAAACTTGACACAAATGTAAAAGAACAGGGTCTCTGTCATGGAACGAATGCATTGCTGTGTGCACAGATGGTGCAGGTGCAATGCTGGGAAAAAAAGAAAGGACTAAAAGCAAGAGTCATGCAAGTGGCACCTCATCAATTTTACGCACTGCATTATCCACCGAGAAGCTCTTCCTACCAGAACACTGGACGTAGAGCTTAATTATGTACTTGAAACTGCGGTAAAAATGGTCATTTACATAAAATCATGCCCACTTAATATGAGACTTTTCCCCATTCTTTGTAACGAACTGGGATCAGAGCACCAGGGCCTGCTGCTCCATACAGAGGTCACGTGGCTTTCGCGAGGGAACGTACTGAGCTATAGCTAACGGACTTGCAGGTCTGTGTGTAGCTGTGAACGGTCATTCAGTGCACAGAGACGACTCCACACTTGGCTGAGGTGCACAATGGGCCAAGACAGGCTTCACCATCTTGCTGTCTTATCAGTTGAGCAGGAAGAACTTTGTAAACTGAGTGAGAGTCAGGTTATTGACAGGTTTGCCAAAAGGAAGAATAGGCGCTACACTTTATTGCACAAAAAGGGAACCAACTTAACTGCTTAGATTTGGTGGACAAGACGCTTTTAAGCTTGGGGAGATACTTTGCTTTACTTTGTGTATAGGATATGTAGGATATGATATTAATTTGTAGTTGCTGAAGTCATATTTGGACATGTTTACGTCCTCCGTTTTGGTAGCATTCATGTGCGTATGCTGTTTATTCTTTGAAAATGTAAAATGAAAAATGACATCTGATAAAAATTAAACCACTTTTGTCCTGAGGGAGTACTTATTGTGTGTATAACTGTGTAATGTACAACTGTATGTATGTATGTGTGTATGTATATATATATGTGTGTGTGGGGGGGTGCTGCGCCCCCCAGTAAAGCTTCAAGTCTAGCAACGCCCATGTTCCTGACCCTAGTAAGTGTTGTCTAAACCTGACTAATCAAGTCTGTGTTTTCCCTAAATCCAACTGACCATTAATCAGTACAGTCGTGTTTGTGTTCTCTTCTCATCTCTCATCTCATCTCCTCTCATCTCATGCTCTTCTCTTCTCTTCTCTTCTATGTTCTTCTCCAAATATGTAGCCCCAATATCAGAATGGACCTGCTTTGCTCTATGCACATTGCCCATCCATCACATTAGGTGGCTTTTTGCGCAAGCTGTGCATTATGCCTGCACACACATCACATTATGTTCGTTTTTTGTCCTGCTCTTACATATTGTGTTCACTTGTTACATTTATTTTTACACTGACATTCATTTTAATATTGAATGAAACCTCTTTATTACTAAAATGAACATTAGGTTGTTAGGTAGTGATCGGTTTGTTATACCTACTTGATCAATCAACCTGTGCGTCTTGTGCATTGTTCTGTGTGCAGCATGTTGCATGTGGGGTGAATGGGTTGCGGGTCTTTCGCAACAGGATTTTGTGGGTCTCGGGCTGAAAACTTTGGGAAACCCTGCTTTAGGTTACAAAAAAAGGGGGGAAAAAAATTATCCTATTCTTCTGCCACTGTATTAATATAAGGCCTTCACTGTGGACCATGCTGCCTGTTGGACACTTGGTTTGTTCTGCACAGGTCTGAAAAATGTGGATACTTCCTGTCACTGCTGTCATTGTATGATATTCCTGAAAAAGTCTCTTTTTTAATTCATTCACACAAGCAGCACAATTTGGGGAACAACATTTTCATAATACTGATGGACTGTATATAGTAGACAAAGCATAAATAAAACATACAAACACAATAATACAAAAACACCAGTGTACAGACACAAAAACCAGATCTTAAACATAAACCTCAAAATACTGAGATGTGAGCTGATGCATATGGTTCGCTTTTCTATTTAAATTGCAGCATTTTGATAAGAAATGAAAACATAAAATAATTAATGAAGTGGGACAAGTGAGGCACAGGTTTCTTCCATTTAATAAGTGACTAGTGTTTACCCAGTAACACAACCCAATCATTACAAAAGAGAATGTCAGCACAATCAAAAACGAGTATTTGTGATTTTAAAATAAAATCCATCCCTGAATCATATCATCACCCAAGCAAGATATCTGGCGACTTGATGCATACGTATAATCTGCTTTATAGTAGCTCAGATTATACATTAGCTGCCCCAGCTAGCTTGATAGGCCATCACATCTGAGAACCAGACTTGTAAAATTGTCCAACCGCTGTTACAGTTCTACCATGATTGTTAATCAGAAGAGAATGACCCCAGTAACAACTCCTCTGAACAAAGAACTGAACTGAATCAAGAACCTGCATGGACTTTCATGTGTCTCTTTAGATGATACTGTCTGGTAAATCTTTGCCCACATCTATCACAACCATACGATCTCTCTCCTGTGTGGATTCTTATATGTTTCTTCAGATTTCCCTGTTCAGCAAATTGTTTACCACAGACATCACAACCAAATGGTTTCTCTCCTGTGTGGACTCTCATGTGGTTCTTCTGACTTACCTGACATCTAAATCTTTGACCACAAACATCACAACCAAATGGTTTCTCTCCTGTGTGGACTGTCATGTGTCTCTTCAGACTTACCTGACATCTAAATCTTTGACCACAGACATCACAACTAAATGGCTTCTCTCCTGTGTGGACTCTCATGTGGTGCTTCAGACTTGTCTGATATTTTAATCTTTCACCGCAAACATCACAAACAAGTGTCTCTTCTGTATGAACTTTCTTGTGTGTTTTAAGACCAGTGGTCTGGTTAAACCTTTTACCACAGACATCACAGCTAAATGGTTTCTCTCCTGTGTGAATTCTCACATGTTGCTTCAGATTCATCTTTCTTTGAAACCTTTTGCCACAGACATCACAACCAAATGGTTTCTCTCCTGTGTGGATACTCATGTGTGAATCTACATTCTGCTTCACTCTAAAACGTTTCTTCTTAACCAAAGAGTTGCCATTCTCTTCGGCTTCAGTGCCAGAATCTGACAAAGATTCTTTCCAATCAGGATCTTCTTCTTCTTCACTGTCTTCAGTCTCAGAAGAATCTGAAGTCTTTTCATCAGTGTCTGGTTGTAAATGACTGTCCAGATCCAGGTCTCCTGCTGGTCCTGATTCTCCACAGTTCTCTCCAACGCTTTCTGCTTTCACCTGTTTAGCTGAGCTGCTGGTCGGAGGCTCTGCCTCTCTGTTGTCTTCAGTTGGGCTTTGATGAAGCTGTGAGAACTGAGGCTCCTCTTCATCACCTTCACTCTTCACAGGAACACCAGTGAATGTGAAGCTGGTGATATCAGTCTCCTCCAGCCCATTCAGCTGCTCTCCCTCCTGTCTGATCCAGACTTCCTCCTCTTCCTGTTTTATGTCCTGTTCCCGTTTTATCTCTTGAGGCTCTGGGTCCTCCTGGTTCAGACTGGAGCTTGATTCAGGGGGATCCTCTTCTTTAATAACTAGCAGCTGCTGGACACACACACATTATGGACAACTGTGACTTTATATCCAAATGATTAATTATATTGTGAATTTTTTCTTCAATTCAGAAGAAATTTATTATAGACGAGCTTCTTGGACATTTGTTGCAACATGAAACAAAAACTATTACAATCAGTTGTAATGCTTCAGCTACAGACCTGCTATGCGAGTCACATGCCTCCACATATCACAGTGCACACTTTGTTTGTAGAATAGCAAGGCCTTTGGCCATCACCAGCAATAACAGAGGATGGTGTGTATTTTCCAGGCCCTATTTCACATATCAGAATAACATTCCCCAGTTTATCCAGGTGTCCTACAGGATAACGTCAGGGGGCTGCAGGCAAGCTGAAGCTCAGAGCAAGCTGGGTGATGCAGCAGGACAATGACCCTAAACATCAGAGTAAATCTACAGAATGGCTTCAGAGACACAAGACCTGCCTGCTGGAGCAGCCCAGTCTATTGCACGCCCAGAATGCGGTTTGCTCGCTCACACTGAGCCGGCGGAACAAATGGCATGATGGGAATGACACAAATGCACATGTGCAGTGGGCCGTACAATGCAGAAGCAAACCCAGAAGAAAAAAAATTTTGACCAATGTAACAGGCAAACAGCTTTCATTGGACAGAATGGCCGCCACGTTTTCATCTGGTGTCTAGGTTTTACAAAACATCTGTGGTGTTTTCTGGTGCAAACGGGACAGAGTGGATTAAGAAAAAATAACATCTCCATCAACCTTATAGGGTCAGTTGTTTTTTTTTCAGCAAAGATAAAGATGGTACCACACGTTAAAGTAGCATACACAAATACAATAACATTACCGCATTTCACCAAATAAGACAAATAAAACAAGATAATCAAAATCAATAATGAAAATATTAGCTATAACTAGGGGCTGCATCTATCTATGATTTTAGAAACTGGGTATTCCACAGATGAATCCATCAAATAATCAAGTGGATAAGAAACTATTTTGCTTTATTGAAGAACAATAGTAAATACACAAAAGAGAAAATAAGACACAGCTCATGGCTAGGCACCATATTGACTTAAAGCTGTAGAAGGTGGTGTGCTTGTTATATCGCAGCGTGTTGGGGGTAGCGGAGCTCCTGGCTGCTCCTATGGACAGAGACTATGTTTATGTGCATAAATAAAAAGGGATACCTGGGGTCGTGCGGGGTATGGGACACGGAAGCTCGCACAAAAAAAACAGCACTGTCTCCGATTCAGTCTGTTCATCCAACCTTCGTTATAATATGAATTCCCCTGGCACTTTGCTTTCTCTCATTCTTATAAATGTTGAGTAGGCTACTGAGTGCCCCACTGAAGGAAAAAAAAACCACCATCTTATTAATTATATCCAAAATGTACAGAAGCACCCTGCATTCACATACGAATCAACGAAGACGTATCACCTAATGGTATGTATGTGCGTTTCAAAACTTGCCCGAGAATCGTAACGTTTTAAAAATGTCGCCAGTATAGAGGTTATTCGGCGATAGCTGTCAGTACATCCAATGGTACATAGCAAAAACGAGCTGTTAATAGATAAATCGGCGGATTTGTAGTTTCAAAAAACAAACGAATAAAGGATAAAAGGGGCGAAAGTTGAAAACCTTTCAAGCCAGTTCTGCTCTGTATTAAAACTGCGAGTATTCTTACCAGCTCTCTGGTTTACAATATCCCGTGTGATCTCAGGATTTTCTTCAAAGCCCCTGCTTCCAGCTTTGTACTGCAGACAATACTCCATTTCGTTAATTTCGGCAAAGTTGTTCTCTTTATCTTTAACAGAACCAGTTGGCTCGCTTTAAACGAGCAACTCCGAAAAGCCCCGGAAGTCCCGCTCTTCTTCTTCTTCCTCTTTTTTCCATAACATAATGGCGGGTAACAAACATTGGTGCATACCCCCACCTGCTGTACCGGAGCGACTAACGTTCGGGTCTTACGTACTTGGGGTTAAAAATGTTCATTATGTAGTATCAGGTGATATCCTGTGGGGTAGGAACCTTGGTGGAGATGTTAAGTGCTGGAGTGAGGGGGGAGATAATAAAGTGAACACGGGAGAACAGCACTGAGCGCATGGTCGTCTGTATTATTGAACCCAGCTATGTCGATATATACAGCGGGTACGGAAAGTATTCAGACCCCTTTAAATTTTTCACTCTTTGTTAAATTGCAGCCATATGCTAAAATCATTTAAGTTCATTTTTTTTCCTCATTAATGTACACACAGCACCCCATATTGACAGAAAAAAACAGAATTTTTGACATTATTGCAGATTTATTAAAAAAGAAAAACTGAAATATCACATGGTCATAAGTATGACAATTCATGTCAAACGGTGCATGGGGAGGATAAAACGGTGGCATTTTCTAGCAAAGAAGATACCCCTATCCTACTGGAAGCAAATAAACATATTTTCAAAGTCTGTTGCTATCTTACACTATTCTGGCCCCCACTGAATACAGACGAGTAGTAGTCTTTGTCCATCTCTGTGGCCATTCTTCTTCATGTCACCTTTCCAGTTCTGTATGAACAATTCACATGCATGACTGCAACAACATTTAAAAATAAGACAAGTGCTGCTCTTATTTTTTCTGTTATGAGAATTTATTAGTCATACATTTGAAATTTCAGGGGACTTTCAAAATAATCAGAATAGTTTTGACCCCACCTGTGTACTACATTCCACCCGCAGATATCAGAAGTATCACGGACTATGATTAGATTTTATTAAATGCATTTACTGAGGTCTTGTACTGAGCAATACTTTTAACAGGTTATTTTACATCCTGCTGTACCTTGATATGATGATTTTGATGAGCTATTAAAGCACTGGTTGAAGTTACATGTTTAATGTGAACTGTCTTATACATCTTTCAGCCTTAATTCACTTGTTTAAAATTACATGAACATTCTCCCAGTAATCTCTTGCCTCCATCTCAGCGGTGGACCTAGGTTCATTAAAATGCAATACAAATAGAAAGCCGCTCACTCACCTGCATTCTCTGGCTTCAGATTCTCTGTATTCCTTTCTTTTAATGAAGCTGGATCTGCCAGCTTCCTTTGTCAAAAGTTTCCACTAAACATGGAATCGATGACACAATACTTCCTCAGGAGTGAGCCTTTCTGCCAATGTACAATTTCCACTTGAAGTCTACTCATCTTCTGCTGCACTGTCCGGTATTTGGGTCCAACAGGTGTCATGCTTGGTTCTTTAAGTGTTTTGATTGCATTTTTAAATGCAGATGTTAAAATACACTGCCATTTACAGGCGGGTGTGGCTTGATAGGAGCTATAGTCTTGTTTCCTCTTGGTAGTTTTCCTGAAGATGTGCTTCATGACCTCTCGTGCCTGAACATAAAAACAACATGTTAGCTGTGTGGTACGCATAGTCTATGTGAAATCTCCCGAGGCCTGACAAAGTAGGTTTACCCTTATTCATTATTCATTTATCCAATAAAGGCTGCTTACAAGGTAAATTTGCACCATCTAAAGTAGCATGAAGGCTGACTGATAACCACCTTTCACTGTGGTAACACTGCTTTACATCATTATGTTTTAGGTCCTCTGGAAAGCCAGATGACATTATGCAACTGCATTCTCCTATAAAGATAGATGGACCGGGTCGATCAAGCTCCTATTTTGGTCTCTCTAGCGATGTTTCACTTACAAATCATGACATTAGTTGCCCCGTTAGTCGCATATTAATAATGGCAAACAGAAGATAAAACACATTCATCCATCATGTGGCTGGTTTGAGCCTCCATCAGCATTTATCTGTGGTTTTGTCTAGTTCTTCATGTGGCTGCTGGATGTCTGTGCAAAGTAAGAACTGGTAGGAGAGAGCAGGTAATGCTGAATGTTGGTAGTTCATTTGTCTGCTCTGCTGCTCGCCATGTTGATAATGATCCGTTTATGCCAGTGATAACTACCTGGTTTTCTCCAGTCATGTGCGCACAAGCGACCTTGGAGCTCATCTTCTGCACATGCACTCTTGTGAAAAGCTGATTAGAAACCTGGTTAGGCGTATACATTGACAGAGGAACCTACCTGGGGAAATCGGGTTTCACATACACATAGACACACTAAGCCTATATGGGTCATTCCACAAAACGGTGGAAATGCTGTCACGGCTTATTTTTGCAGACACCAAAATCCTTAAAGTTGACATGATACTCACGTTACTTATACCGGTTATACTCACGTTACTTATACCGGTTATGTTGAATACATAAACACTGTGCTTGCAATGATAAGACAAAGTTTAATCACCTAATATTCAATTTTATTATAAGCAAATAATTTAAAATGCCAAGTTTAAGAAGATATCTTATCTTTGATCATCACTTAGTTCCCACCACTGCAACCAAAGGGACTTCCTCCTGTGTGGGTTTTCATGTGCCTCTTCAGACTTCCCTGATGTCTAAATGCCTTACTACAAACATCACAATCAAATGGCTTCTCCCCTGTGTGGATTCTCATGTGTCTCTTAAGATGCGTCTTTACGCTAAATCTTTTACCACAAACATCACAGCCGAACGGTTTCTCTCCTGAGTGGACTCTTCTCAAGTGTGTCTTCAGGTTTCTCGGATCTCTAAATCTTTTACCACAAACATCACAACTAAATGATTCATCTCCTGTGTGGACTGTTATGTGTCTCTTCAGATTTCTCTGTTGTGCAAATCTTTTTCCACAAACATCACAACTAAACGGTTTCTCTCCTGTGTGGACTGTTATGTGTCTCTTCAGGTTTTCCTGACGTCTAAATCTTTGGCCACAAACCTCACAACCAAATGATTTCTCTTCTGTGTGGGATCTAATGTGTCTTCTCAGATTGCTCTGATGTCTAAATCTTTTACCACAAACAGTGCAACCAAACGGGTCTTGTCCTGTGTGGACACTCATGTGTGCCTTCAGACTTTCCTGATGTTTAAACGTTTTACCACAAACATCACATCCAAATGGTTTCTCTCCTGTGTGGGCTCTAATGTGTCTCTTCAGACTTTCCTGATGTCTAAGTCTTTTACCACAGATATCACAAACAAATGGCTTCTCTCCGGTGTGAATTCTCATGTGGCTTTTAAGATTATATCGGTAGGTAAATCTTTTACCACAAACTTCACAAATAACATGTTTCTCCCTTGTGTGGACTCTCTTCAGTGACTCTACGTTCTGCTTCACACCAAAACATTTCTGATTAACCAATAATCTTTTTCCAGAATGGCATGTCATGTGTCTCTGAAGAGACTCCTTATACTGAAATCGTTTACCACACCTAAAGCAGCCAAAGGAGTTTTTGGCTGTATTACATCTCACATCTCTTATAGGGGCTTCCTTGTACTTCACAGCAAATCCACCTGACTCAGATGCCCTAGTCTCCTTCTGATTACTGTCACTGTCTTCAGCATCAGGGTCAGAATCTGACAAAGGTTCCTGCCAGTCATCATCATCAACTTCAGTCTCAGAAGAGTCTGAAGCCTTTTCATCAGTGTCTGGTTGTAAATGATTGTCCAGATCCAGGTCTCCTGCTGGTTCCGATCCTCCACAGTTCTCTCCAATGCTTTCTGTTTTCACCTGTTTGGCTGAGCTGCTGGTCGGAGGCTCTGCCTCTCTGTTGTCTTCAGTTGGGCTTTGATGAAGCTGTGAGGACCGAGGCTCCTCTTCATCACCTTCACTCTTCACAGGAACACCAGTGAATGTGAAGCTGGTGATATCAGTCTCCTCCAGCCCATTCAGCTGCTCTCCCTCCTGTCTGATCCAGACTTCCTCCTCTTCCTGTTTTATGTCCTGTTCCCGTTTTATCTCTTGAGGCTCTGGGTCCTCCTGGTTCAGACTGGAGCTTGATTCAGGGGGATCCTCTTCTTTAATAACTAGCAGCTGCTGGACATCTGCAGGGTACACTGAAACACATGGAAATTATGGATAACTGACTTTTATCATAGTGACACTAGACCTTAAAACTACAATATGTAATGAACTGATACTTAGCGCTACATGAGGCACTAGAATCAATCGCTTCCACTCCTCCCAGCCTTCCCTCTTCCTGCTCACTACACTCTGCTCCGTTCCACCCAGGCCATTGTGAACGCCAAACGGGTCACACAGAGCCATAGTTATGAGAGAAATTCACGAAGTAAGCAGATAGTAATACATGAAACTGGTGGGCATTACAATAATATAACTCAGTGCGCTGACTGCTCTGCTTCCGTCTACTGTAAGCATAGCTACATAACTGTAACTGTATGGTAACTTCTACTCTACAACAGATGGGCATATATTTACAGCCAGCAGTTTGTGAACATTGCCAAACAACAAATGAGTGCACCTGATGCTGCTGAGAGCACACATGCCATTCAGAGACATCTGAAACTGATTAAAACACACTGTCAAATGTAGCTACATCATTGTAGTAACTGAAGAAGACAGCGGAACCGGGCAAAGTAGTATCAGTACATCTGTAGCAGATGCCAAACCAGTGACCGAGAGACAGACTCCTGCAGAAAAATCACCAAGTTAGTGGAGACTGCAACACATTCAGCTGGTGGGCATTAAACCATTTTATTTCACCAGTAACAGATTGATTAGATAGCCGTGGCAGGTCGGGTTGTTTGTGAAACCATCTGACTGGATGTAACTGGTTGGTTCTAATAACAAAGTAGCAACACAGAAACGTCCTTAGCTTAGCCAGCAGCTGTTAAAAGTCACACAGTTTTTAATATAGTATGGTTCCACCTGCATGGTATAACGCTATTACCGATCCTATCTCAAAATCACCATTACAACATTAGCTCACGTAGTTCGTTGGACACAGGTCCGCTAGGCTAACGTTAAACACGGGTGACGGTTGAAAACGCCTGTTTTCTTCACGTTAAATCTACGATTATTCTTACCAGCTGTTCGATCCACAACAATATCCCGCTTGATCTCCAGTTTTTCTTCAAAGGACAAGCTTTCAATTTGGTACAGTTGGAGATAATCCATTTAGTTATTGTCCTATAAGGTCTCTTCTTTAAACCGCACACAGACGCCCCCGGAAGTCCTTCCCTTCTTCTTCTTTTTTTATTATACCGAATGGCGGGTGGCAAACCAAAGTGCATACCGCCACCTACTGTCCCGGGGGAGTGGCATCAGGGTAGATGTACTTAAATTGGAAAATACTGTAGCTATAGCCTATTTAACGTTCTAATCCTGTACATTTAAAAGGGGGTTTCCACCCCCCTGTCACAAAGTGCTGCTCAAGGGGGTTTATTAGGTTTTTCTCTATAATAATAAGAATGGTAGTAAGGTCTAGACCTTACTTTGTAGTGTCCTAAGATGATTGTTATTGTGATTTGATGCTATACAAATAAAATTGAAGTGTCTCAGTGTAGGAAATCACTCCCCACTGGACAAAAATTCTAAGAATGATGGATTTTTGATCATATGTTTCTATATAAGAGCATTTTATTAACATTCCTAAGTCACTCCTGTCTCCCCCCAAAATGCAGGAGAGCTCCAGAGGAGTCCTAACTGGTTAAGAGCTGCCAGGACAGCATCCGGTGATGCAGTGTGCGCAGATTCTGTGGAAGGAGAGATACTCTGATTACACGTAATAGGTGAATCCCAGTTCCCTTATTTTATAGTTCCTCAGCCCTCGTTTGACCCAGAAGTCGTTCCGGTCTGCCAAGATGAAGAGCATCTCAAAGCTCTTATTTCTACTCTGAGGAATGCAGGAGTGAGGAGGCTGCTGGGAGGAGCTGTAACTGGGGAAACACAAGCGTATTCTTCATGGAAGTTTGGCTGCGTTCCATTTGCCTATGCAAGCATTTGCATGAGGTGCAGGCAGCATGAAGAGGCAATATGACACCGAGCTTCATCAGCTGATAACGGTAATTCCAGAAAACAGGCTAATCTTTCATGCTAAGCAACACATCTCTGTTTTAGAACACAAAGTGGACAGCCAATATCTCTGACTGAATACTGGCCCAGAGATCCCAAACACCAGGACACCATTTTAATATCAAGTTTGATTTTATGGGTTTGGAAGTGAAGGAAAAGTGGACTGGGACTGGAATTCACCAAACAATACTGAACTCATGAACAGATATCAGGCCAAAAAATCAAACGGTTCTGTGATAAACCTTGGTGGGATTCTTTGCTCTTTGTGGATGATTTGACCTCTTTCATCTTAAAAAATTATTTTGATGAAACCATCTGAGATGTTTAGGGAATAACCCAACCTTCAGCCGAACTGCTAAGAAGTGAGAGACATTTGAAACATGTAACAAGGGCTCAGAATCAGCTCTGCTGTTTTTGTATGGGCATTTGTTTATCATTACGTTTTACATTGTAAAAATGTAATTTGAAAAGTAAGTGGTGACCTTGACTATCATGTAAATGTAGTGCAGGAAAAAAAAAGCACCATGCTTCCTTTTGAAATGTACAGTAGTGAAGTAAAAGTATACAGTAGTATAAAACAGAAATACACAAGTACAAGAACCTTAAAATTCTATTTAACTACATCACTTAAGTAAATGTATTTAGTTACCTTTCATCACTGTCACCAGATGGTTTCTTCTGTGTGTGGACTGGCATGTGCCTCTTCAGATTCACCTGATCTCTAAAGCATTTGCCACAAACATCACAGCTAAATGGCTTCTCTCCTGTGTGGATTCTCGTGTGTCTCTTCAGATTTCTCTTTTGTGTAAATCTTTGAAAACAAACATCACAAGCAAATGGCTTCTCTCCTGTGTGAACCGTCATGTGTCTCCTCAGACTTCTCTGATCGTAAAAACTTTTACCACACGTTTCACAAGCTACTATTTTCTCGCTTGTGTGGATTCTCGTGTGTCTCTTGAGATTCCTTCGTTGTCTAAATCTTTTACCACAAACAACACACCCGAAAGGTTTCTCTCCCGTGTGGAGTGTCATGTGCCTCCTCAGATTTTTCTGATCGTGAAATCTTTTGCCACAAACATGACAACCAAATGGATTCTCTCCAGTATGGAGTCTCATGTGTGTTTTCAGACTACCCCGATATCCAAATCTCTTACCACAAACATCACAACCAAACGGTTTCTCTCCTGTGTGGACTCTCATGTGTGTTTTAAGAGACTTCTTTAGTTTAAATCTTATCCCACAGACATCACAGCCAAATGGTTTCTCCCCTGTGTGGACTACCATGTGTCTGCTCAGACTTTGTTGATGTTCACAGATTTTACCACATACACCACAAACTAACGGTTTCTCTTCTGTGTGGATTTTCGTGTGTCTCTTCAGATTTCTCTGGTCGCAAAATCTTTTACCACAAACATCACAACAAAATGGCTTCTCTCCTGTGTGGACCCTCATGTGTCTCCTCAGATTTCTCTGATCATAAAATCTTTTACTGCACACATCACAACCAAATGTTTTCTCTCCTGTGTGGAGGATCATGTGTCTCTTGAGATTTCTCTGTTGTCTAAGTCTTTTACCACAAATATCACAACCAAATGTTGTTTCTCCTGCCTGGACTCTCAACTGTGAAGTCTCATTCTGCTTCATTCGAAAATGTTTCTTATTAACCAAAGAGCATGAAGACCGTTTTCCTGAATGGCATATCATGTGTCTGTGAAATGACTGCTTGCTGTGAAACTGTTTACCACACTGAAAGCAGCTAAAGGAGTTTTTGGCTTTGTGGCATCCCACATCTCCTACAGGGGCTTCCTTGTGCTTCATAGCATGTCTGCCTGCGTCAGGTGCCCTGGGCTCCTTGCTGCTACTGTCGCTGTCTTCAGCATCAGGCTCAGAATCTGACAAAGGCTCCTGCCAATCATCATCGTCATCTTCTTCTTCTTCACTGTCTTCAGTCTCAGAAGAATCTGAAGTCTTTTCATCAGTGTCTGGTTGTAAATGACTGTCCAGATCCAGGTCTCCTGCTGGTTCTGATTCTCCGCACTCCTCTCCACCGCTTTCTGTTTTCACCTGCTTAGCTGAGCTGCTGGTCGGAGGCTCTGCCTCTCTGTTGTCTTCAGCTGGGCTTTGATGAAGCTGTGAGGACCGAGGCTCCTCTTCATCACCTTCACTCTTCACAGGAACACCAGTGAATGTGAAGCTGGTGATATCAGTCTCCTCCAGCCCATTCAGCTGCTCTCCCTCCTGTCTGATCCAGACTTCCTCCTCTTCCTGTTTTATGTCCTGTTCCCGTTTTATCTCTTGAGGCTCTGGGTCCTCCTGGTTCAGACTGGAGCTTGATTCAGGGGGATCCTCTTCTTTAATGCCGAGTGGTTACAGGGCCACACACCATAAACTCCATCGAGACCGGAAGATCAGGAGACCAGAGGTTCAACTGCAACCACTGACAGCTCTGTCTCTGGTTTCCTGTCTGCCTCTCTGCAACAGACTGATTAATAAAGGCTCAAAATGTCCAAAAAGATAACAAAAAGTATTACAGATTTAATATTAACATTATTGTGTTCAGGGCTTGTATATATTGTTTGATTCATCTGAAATGCACAGAAAAAAATTTAAACTTGTTAGGGGAAAAAGGCCTGGTGCCAATATCTCTGTCTTATAAATGGCAAGTGGACAAAGTATAGTTAGAGGACCTGCCTCATCATTCTGGACTGCTACCGATTTACTGGGAATCCATCTCTGAAAGCCAGATGTGACGTTACCTGTCCCAGGTACATCTGTACTGAGTGCAGCAGAGTACACTGTTACAGGGAGCAGATCTCGTCCTGTGCCTGAGGACGTGAACAAACTCAGCATCTTACAGAGGAACATGGAAACAGAATGAACACTGTACAGTGTGTGTTTGGCTTATGCTGCACTTTAAATTGACATTGAGAACGTATGGTCTCAGATCCACTTTGTGACTCTCGTGTTTTGCATGCACTTGAGCAACAGAGATAATCTTCCGTTAGCTTGCGCAATTGAAACTTGCTGAGTGTCTGTGATGTAGACACAGTGTGACACTTACTGTCCAAGTCTGTCTAACCAATCATCTGACCATAGCCATAGCTATTAAGAGGCAGAGTAGAGGTGGGTCCCAACGAAACATGAGTGCATGCACGCACCCCTCACAAACCCGGAGACCAGACTTCATGGACCGTGCACAGAAGCAGGTGATTGCGGTAGAGGAGTGAGGATTCCCAGGAGGAGCTGTAAGCTGGTTCAAATGATTAAGCATCAGTTTACAAATCTTCACACTTTTGTTTTGTTACACTTAATAGCACAGAACTGTGTTAGAAAGGCTCCAACTTGAAAGGGACTTTGATCATGACAGTGCTCTCCATCTCCAACGTGCCAAACCGGTGTTAAACCCTGGTCGGTCTCGTCCTTTGGCTTCCATCCTGGGTTGGACCTGCACAGGGAGCCTCCACGGTCCGTCTTTGAAATGAGCTGTACTGGTTTGAAAAACACATCTTATAACCTCAGATCAGCAGCAGTGGCCACAGAGGGGTAGAAATAAACACGAGGCCTGAAGAGAGCAGAGTTTTTACTTGATTTACCAGCTTTAATGTATGTCATATTATTAGATTATATTGTAATTACTGACGCGTTATTGTGTAAGTCACATGTAATATTGCAGCTCATAAAGGTGGAGCTATTAACTACCTTAGACATTTATAATTAGAATCACTGCTGAGCAGTTTGCCAATTTCCCATCAATAAATCATGAAAGAGTCATGATTTTAATGTGTTTTGTTTTATTCGTCTGATTAGTTAGAATAACCATCAAACAGGTGTAGTGGAGTAAAAAGTACCATATTTAGCTCTAAGATGCGTTTTGACAGGACGGGAGGGGGTTAAAACGTTTCGTAAGCCGACGGAAGATGACCAGTGTGACCAGTGGATGTAAAACACGGGAGCCACAGTCTGGAGCTACGACTGTTCTTACCAGCTGTTTGGTCCATAACGACGATCCGCGGCTGGCGACACCGCGGCGCGTAATCTCCGGCTTTTCTTCAAAGGCCAAACCTTCAGTGTTGCACTATTAAAGACAATCAATTTCATTCATCTCACCAATGTTATAATCTTATTTTAAAGAAATAGTTGGCACACTCCAAATGAGCCACAAAGCACAGCTACCGGATGCTCCTTCGCTTCTTCTTCTTCTTCGGTTTAATGGCAATTACAGTCAGGAGCATTGTCGCCACCTACTGTTGTGTTACAAAATGTTTATATTCTTGATGTTGGCGGAGATGTTTTCAAACTGAATTTTCATTATTGTGTGAAAAATGTTTTAAGGTCGATATGTTTAATCTACAGCTCATTTCTTAGTAACTTTCAATTTCAATTTAATTTAAAACTTTGGACATACCTGATCAGTAATTTTCTTTGTGTCTAGTATTTTCTGCATTGTAGATTTATAATGAAGACATCGAAACTATGAAATGACATGTATGGAATTTTGTAGTAAACAAAACAGTGTTAAAGGAAAAATGGTTCAGATTTTAGATTACTCAGATTAGCCACCATCTGCCTTGATGACAGATTGGTACAGGACAGTATTTCTAGCAGCTTAACCAGTTTCAGGTGGTCACCTGGAGTTTATGTTCATTTTCACACAATTATGTTCACTTTTTATGCTGCCAACAGATGTGTCCCACTTCACCCAAATCAGCTGTCGCCACCGCATCAGATGTGGCTGCGGTCATGCTGAGCCCGCGTTCATTTTGCTGTGGCAACCAGCTGCCTTTCAAAGCCCTGCAAGTTCTGGTTTACCTAGCTGAAGCATTTCAGATCAACAGCTAGCATTAATCTAGTCAGATGCTAGCGACCTATTTGACAATTCAGCAGAAGACTTGCACCGATATAAAATGTAACCAAAGCACAAACTACAAAAAAGTGCATGACAAAAATCTGTTTATGAAATGTTCTGTGGCTAAAACTAGAAACAGTTTATAATGTAATTTCAATCACAGAAATGCAGCTTCCACAATATTCACTAAAAATCCCAATAAAGTCAAAACAGAAAAAACTATTATATAATATTATAAGCTAAGTCTAAATTCAGAGATAGCTCCTCTCTGCAATGAGGAGGCAGAGGCTACTTTGCCAGCTCTAGACACAAAGACAGATGCCTCGACTACAGAGATGTGGACGTTTTTACATTAGCACACTCTGCTGTACTGACCTGTTATCACCACTGCAGGTCAGCAGTTAGTAACCCTACATGTCTGAGTGAAGCACTTAGGGGAGCAGCAGGTCACTCCAGGTTTTACAAAGCTTCATCATAATTGTTTCATGAGTAGAAATGCAGACATGTCAGGTGCATTTGCTGCTATAACTGTTTATGCCTTGTTAACCATTTTCAAAATGCTGATAAGAGAACAAGTGCAGCATGTCTATAAATTATAATCATAACATGCTGCACATGATGCAGTTGTGCTGTAGTTGTTAGAACTAGAAAATATCAAAGTTATTATAGAGCTACAAGACAGAATTTGATCTAAATAACACATTTTTCCAAATCTAAGAATTTAATCTCTTCACTGTGGGACAACACAAACTACGTCTTACACAAGGTCATGAGAAGCTTTAGACAGTATCTACACCTTCAGCGCCGTCCACTGCACTTGCTTTGATGGGAAACGTTTGCAACTAGATCTATATCAAACAAACCAATGAACTGTCCCCTTCCCCACATGCACCAGATTATGTTTGAGTCTAGACAAAAGGCCCCATGTTGCAGGCTGGTGGATGCACATTACTATAGTACCGTATGTAACTAATGTCCTGCTGCAAAGCCCAGTTCATGGCCTTGGTAAATGCTTAATGCAGCCCCACCCTGACACCACCCCTCACTCCCTGCCTCAGAGCTCTCGGACATGGCGACAGTGGAGGAGATGCCAAAGAGGTCGGGAGGTTAATTTGTGCTCCATCCTGTTACCTGTTAAGTATTAAAGCTAGAAGAAGATAGGATAACGAGAGGCCCAGCACACCACATCTATCCTCTATGAAAATGCGCTTCTTCCTTCTGTGGATCACAAATTGGTGGCGTGTGATGGCCTTTGTTATTAGTACAATAGAAATAATAGAAAACTGAATAAATCATTTGTGGAGAAGTGCTCTGTTAGAGAAGTTGTTTAAAACCTGGGTCCTTTCTTGACTGACTGCCTTGTGTCCACTGCTAATCATTAACCCTCCTGTTATGTTGCGGGTCAAATTGACCCACGAACATAACTGCTTTAAATGAGACAAATATTTGATATGAAGACATGAACATAACAGGAGGGTTAACCCCTGATCTGAGTTTGTTCCTGTAAGTATAGACAGTGTTGTCACACAGTTGCCATGTGACTGTACATGCTCACCTAGGAAGCACACTGCGGTAAAACAGGAAACATGTGGTCAACAAAGGCGGTCTTGACCTGTGCTCGTCTCCTACTGGAGCAGTTTGGTCAACAAAAAGTGACACTTGAACTTAAACAACATAATATTGAAATCATTTTCTTGCAAGGTTCCTGAAAACTGACTGAGGAAATAGAGGAAGGCTCGGGACTTGGTTGAGGTTGAGAAGTTTCTATCAAGTCAGTGATTTTTAGAGGAATTTCCTAAAAACACATTCTCACTTTGATCAAGCAAGTATTCAAAAAATTTGGGAAAACTGTTTATATAAGCTGAACTGTATGCTTACTTGTAGGCAAACTTTACATTTTTGAGTGTGGACTGAAACACATTCGTTACACTAGCAACTAATTGGGATTAATAGCAAGTGTACAAATTAAACACTGCCTCCTATTCCCTTGTAATTATAGCCGTATCATAGATGCAGTCATGTGCAGGAACCTTGGGAGGAGTTTATCGCTATAAACAATGATGGGAACTGTAAAACAAAAGAAAGATTCAGTGACCAAACAAGAAAGAATCACAAACACACTGAGATGAAGTTGGTTTCCTTTTATAAAAAATTTGTGAAAGAGGGAAATACAGAGATAGAAATTGCACATTAAAGGTTTTCTTTCTCCTAATACACACTATAAAAATACAATTTGTATTTCAGAGTACGGTGTGAATAGAGACCTACTGATTCAATATTGTACAAAACTAAATCAGGGAATGTGTGTCTTTGGTGTCCTCCGTCTTCCCCTATCTCAGACCTACAGCATGTTGTCACTGTAACGATTTATCGGTTTAATCATTCAGACATGTTGGGGGTGTGATGCCTCAGTCCAGTTTTAGGTTGGCGGCAACACAAAGCGTCAATAAACCTGTGGCCCTTCATTGTCATAGCTCAGAGAGGAGTCCAGGTGTTTGGGCTAAATGAACACATTCTTCAAGACAAATCCTCAGCGACTGTCTTGAAGTCTAAACACACAGAAAAGGCCCCTCGCAGTTGTGTTACTGCAGAGACGTTGTGATTCACCTCACACATTTCCACCTCGGTCACAGTGCTTCATCCACACTGCTGATTCACATTAAAGGCACCTTTCAGTGCCAGTAGAGCGCATGTCATCACGGTGTGTCAATCCGTGGAAGGAAAAAAAAAGAGCCCGTTTAGAAAGAATAAGTTGTCTCTTCAACTAAATACGCTGAGGTTCAAATGCTTGCCCCAGTGAGCTTCATAGTCAGTCGGAGGTCTTGTGTTCCACAGTAAAACAGTCTCAGAGAAAGATGATCTGAGCCAGTGTCAGAAGAGACCTCAGCCATGGCCTGCAGCCCTCTGGCCGTATATTTAGGGCAAGGAGATATTTTCAGCCAGAGGCCAACTCAGTTGCAGTCTTGTCCTTTGTCAACACACTGAGTCACACAATAACAAGAAACTTCATTGTAACTCAGCCATAGACTGACTGTGTGATGTGCTGCAGGAGTCATTCCGGTAAACGTTTGGGGTGATTTGCAGGCTTAAAAGAAGTAAGCCCACATTTTGACTTTCATTCTCAGGAGTCGGAAATTAGCCACAGGAAAATTTTTTAAAAGTCACTGTGGTAATTGTATAACTCAGTGTTTGGACAGTATGTCATGCTGTCTGTTCACATAAAGACTGGGCTAATAAGTTACAACAGTCATTTCAAGTCCTCTGACAGATGAACTTCCTGTGCTGATAAGGCTTGTGAGAACTGACTCATTTACTGAAAGCATGTTCATGCAATTCCTCTTTCTTAATAGCGCCTTTAATGAGAAAGAATAAGAAAAGAGGGTTGTTGGAAGTGGCTCCGATGAGTGAACAGATCTCACACACACACACACACACACACAGTTCCTATGGTATCACTATGGTTTGAGCTCATGCTGCATCAGCAGTGTCAGCAAAACAGGTGACTTTGCAGCCATTTTGACAACTCTGACAGTAATGCAGTTCTTTTCTTCAAGTGGGAGACTGTCAGATCTTCCAGACCCTGAACTAAAACAGGAGCAGCTTTCCCCACTTGATTACTTGCAAATACAGTCTGAATGATAAGACAGAGTTTGAGTTTAATGCCAATAGGCTCACAATGACAGTGTGCTAACATGCTGATGTACAGCGGGTTTGTTGGGCTGTGTGTGTGTTATCATAGCATGCCGACATGTGCTAATTAACGCAGAGGAATGATTTTCTTTTTAAACCAGCATTAATATAATTTCCTCAGTTTGTTTAAAAAAAAAAAAGCAGGTGATTTCCATTTTTTAACTGGGGACGATTAGGCCCAATCTGCCCCCCTAGTGGATATTTTAAATCCTCCATGAAGTCCAAAAGAAGGTAGACTGGTGTCACAGCCAGTGCCCACATGTATGTGTCAGTAAGCCTCATTTCACCCTGGTTACCTGGAGATGTTATGATCGACATATCACCAAAACCATACTTTGTGGGATGCTGAAATATTTTTAATACTTTTGTTGAACTTCCTGATCTATCACAGATGCTGTCGTTTATTTAAAAAAAAAAAAAAAAAAAAAGACCTTCATGAAAATAAAGCTGCTTTTTTATTTTCAGGGAGTCGTGAACAGTCAATGCGAGACCAGGCAGGCAGAGTTGGGACTTCCCCTCTCATCCTGATCACGCAGTTAGTTTGTGTGCAGACAGGATGGTGTCCCTTCTGGTCGACCTGAACTCACTTGTGCATGTACAGTCGTATAAGGCCGGCTTTGTGCAGCTTCTGCCACAGGTCCATTTCCAGAAGCATGTCATGGTTGACGAAGAAGCTCAGTGGGTGGTAGCTGTGGTCGTAGTAGTGGTCAGAGTACTTCCTATAGTCTGGGGTTATGAAGCCATATGCACTCACCTTCATCAACAAAGCAAAGACAAAAGCCACACAATTAAATCTGACATCTGAATACCTTAAAATCTAAACAGCTTTCAGCATATCAGCTTTCTTGTTTTGGCTTGGCTCCGTCAGCCTTAATCATTTTCCAGCTTATTTCCAGCCCCACAGGTTGAAAACCAGATGCGACGGATGTGAGGGAATCAGTGGGTGATTTGATAACTAAACCATAAAGCTGGCATGCTCAAGGACGACTGCATAGATCCTGAGGGCACAGCACTGTGGTCTGAGTGCATCACTATCAGCTGCTAATCAAGCCTGCACAGACATGCACGCTTCTACAAGGGTGATGGCTACGAGTCAAAACATTTACACATTAGCAGGCAAGTGCAGCCTTGCCCCATAGTAAATAAACAGCTAAGAGACAGTAACATACAGTGGAGCAAAGACGGCCGTTACCTCGTCGCAAGTGTGCAGTGCAGCCAACAGCATCACACCACCTGTTGTCGGACGGTAAATGTCCTTATATTTGGTTTTCAGAACAGAAGATCGTAGGAATCTGAAACAAAACAATCAGAGCTCTAGTAACAGAGGTTTCAGGGACACTGAAGATTAAATAAAAGTGGAGGCAGGGGGGAGGAAAGTTGCTGCCACCCAGACCTCGCAGTCCTCGTTTGTGGGAACTTCCCTCAGCAGCTCACTCTGGTTTCAGCCTCTGCTTTTCATCACATTTCCAAACTATTTGAAACGTGAGCCCTGTTTTCATTCTGTTCGCCTGCTGTGTCAATAATTTGCTCACCTGTTTCTGAGGTAACGGATGAAATCGGGGTGGAATATCTTGAGCTTTTCTTTTGACACATCCTTTCCAAAGTACTTGGATGGACTGTGGAGGAAATATGACATTACAAAAATCACCCACTTTCCCCAGCACACAGTTAAAAGGATCATCAGAGAACAACTGGCTATTCAGAACTTTACTGACGCCAATAACCTGAATCTAGAATATTTACATGCTAGGGCAAGAACAGGGACTTCTTTTCTTAGACAGTGGTGAGATTAGAGATTGTGCCACAGTGAAGTTTGAGCTGGTCTGTGTGTAAGGCAACAGCAGTAACCACTCTCTTGCACAAGACAGATGCTCTGTGTAATTGCATGGTGAGAAAAACCTTTCCACAGGGAGGAAACGTCTGTACAGCCCTGGTTGTAAAGTAAGAAATCACGCTCCTTTTATTTAAGTAAATTTCAGTCAGACTGGGTCAGATCGGCATTAAAACCGTTAGCATGGCTAAACATTAATTAAGCACTAAACTTTACAGCTGAACATAAAACATACAGAAGAGCCATCGGATAAAGGAACTGCATGATTGGTATGACAGCCTGTTTAGTGGGACTTACTCCTTGGTGCGCTCGGGCCCCCTCTCTACTGGAGTGTGTGTGGCTGCCGCCTTTATCAGCAGGTAATCACGGTCTTGATCGGGCAGGAAAACGTATCGCGTTTCCTGTTGGAGAACAGAAGAGAGGGTGACGTAACTCAGGCCTGATTCTTTAATGTCAGCATCTTATGAGGAAAACCCTTTAGTTTCTGTCCTCACATTGGACACAGGGGGTCCTCTGTACCCGTCTCGTGCATAACTCATCATGGAGTTCATCAACGTGTTGGTGGAGAAGGTGTAGTGGGTGGTCCGGGACCCCACGTCCTGCTCAAAGCCCTTTATGATCGCCCCATTGGTCCTGAAGTGTCAATGAACATACACAAGCACAAAGACACGTAGAAACAAACACAGAGTTGTGTTAATTATCCTTTAATCCATCAGTGAAGTCAACAAATACATAGCAGAGTGACTGAAGTCTGTTACTAAACCCACAGGGTTTAAAAAGAACCATTTTGCTTTACTATGCAGGATTGGTTCACAAAGCCAGAGCCCACCTGAAGACGTAGTGATGTCTGTCGATCTCCTCCCCCTTCTTTGAATCCTTCAGTATGCCACCATTCCCCACCACAGCACAGCGGATACACTTGGATTTACTGTTGCGAACCCTCCAGTCGTCGAACATCTGCCCATTAGCAGAGGAGTTGAGGACAGAGAGTGTGTTCACCAGAGCTGTTGAAACACAGAAAACAATCTTTACATTGTTTAACACAGCAATTTAAAAAGGTTTTTACACAAGGCCTTGAATCTTTAAAAAAATACATTTTGTGCTTATGCAATTGCATCCGCCCACAGATTTGATCATTTGCAACTGATGTAAAAAAGAAAATCCCAGGATACACACACAGCTGTGTCTTTCTATAGTTGTGTGGACACTGACTGACATAATGAATTCCCTTTAGCCCCTGACCTTGCTTGACACCAGCCCTAACACCAACATAAATCTAACTAAACCCAAGCACAGAAACAAGCACTCACTGTTGTAATCGATCCCCCAGCCATGTGGCGCTGGATACCTGCTCAGACGCTGGTGCTCTTCAGAAGTCGCATGTTTGGCCCATTGCAGGACTGGAATACTGCTCAGAAACAGCCTAGCAAATCCAGATTCTGCAACCAGACTTCGGATACCTTCTGTGCAGTCCTGTGGGGAGCAGGTAACACAGCCTCGCTGTTGTCAGACCACATATGGAAAGTCTCACCTCCACCCTCCACAACTTAGTAGCCACAAGTTTGTTTGTCCCACGCAATCATTACAAAGTTCCACTCAGCAGGTTGCACAGCCTCAGTATTAACCACTAGACTCACTGGAGATGGCTCGCTAGGAATTACACAGCTAAAAACAGCTAATGACAGGAGGGAAGTTGGAGGTTTTATCAGCTGAGAGACCTACTCATTATCAAATTTACCTGGGCTCACTTTGTTGATGCATAAAACATGAACCACAGTGGGCAGCCAGTGTGGATGCTGAGCCTGTCAGCACTTCAAACCTGTTATTTGCTCCTGACTATAATCATATACTGAGTTTGTACAATCTCTTCAAAGCCTAATCTGCAGCTAATCTAAGATAATACTTGAAAAACAAATCGATGTGTGCAATGCAGGAAATTCTCATGAAAAACACTGACTCACCATAATAAGTCATTTCATTAAACTTTTACAAAACCCTCTGATTTCTCTGAGTCATTCAAAGCCTGAGTAATGTTTTCATCCTATGTACTGTCTCCTCCTCCCTATTTCCCTCAGTGGACCATCTGACAATGCAGCAGAAAGGTTCTGCCTTGGTGACACATTGAGAGAGTAGAGGAGAAACACAGTCAGGTTCTGGCAAACACAGCTCTGTTTTCTATTCAACACATACTGGGAGAACAGACCCGCCCAGTCCAGCTGGCTGCTGGACGGCATCGCTAGTGTGACAGAACACAAGCATCTCACAACCTGTTCTCGCTTCCAGCTGCTTTCACACCTGTGTTAACACTTTAGTCCCAGTGTACTGAATATTCACATTGAACAGTCTACACTTTGTCATTATTTGATTAAAGAATAAAGTTTGTAAGATCCTCTTGTCAACAAAACACTAAGTACTCTGTGAAGCCTGTGACTAAACTATTACAGACAGCGTTACTGATGAAACACACCATCCCACCGTCCTGCTGGCACAAGTACTGAAACACCAAATGTAGATCCATCCCGCTGCGGTGAGTGTACATTTGTGATCTGCCTTCAGTGGGAATCAGTGTCTCTGCACATACGTATAGGCCTACACAGACAGATGAACCCTGATCAGACAGACTGTGCACAGTAATGGAGCTTACGGTTTGTGTAGAGTTGTTTTCAATCATGTAAGTGTCTCCGATGAAGGGAGGCTCCGTAGTTCTGACTGCTGGTGTGGGCCTCCGAGGTTTCAGAGTGGGGCCTCTGGTACTGGTCCTGGTTGTACCACCACCACCAGATGTGGAACTGGACTGTGAGACATCCAAGACTTTGTGCTTTGCTGGTTGTTGCTGTTCAGCATCTGGAGATGTTCGAGTCTTTAAGGTCGGCACCAGTATGGTGTGTGTGTGTCCACCCAGACCTCCAGAGGAGAGCTCTGGCCCAGAGCTGGAGGCAGGGGGCAGGCTGCTCCACTGGGAACTGCTCTCTCCATCAAAAGGGTCCTTAGAGTCTTGTGACCCCCTGTGGAAGACAGAACGACATTTGGTTTTCTACTTCCTGTTGGCCAGATTTGAACTTTAATGTGCACAGTGAGAAAGGGCTGACTTGTAAAAGTTATCTTTCAGTGACATATGTAAAAGGTTATAGCTGGAGTCCTTCACCGTCTGTTCCTGTTATGACTTTTAACAGCACTTATGTCTGAGTCTTTACGCCTGTTCCTGTTTTAAGTATCCAGTTTTTATTTTGTAGCTTTTGAATTTCTGCACAATGATCTTGTTGTCGTCTGTCTTTATTTGCCAGGGCATCATGGAAAAAAAAGAGAGGTTTCAAACCTCAGTGGGTTTTTCTCTGTGAAATATATGTAAATGAAAGTTCTGAAGAAGGCAGCGACACCAGCCTATAAAGTCTGTGCTGCATATGCTTCAAATATTTTGCATTTCCTGCTTGTTCGCTGCCTACAATTACTACGCCGTGTTGTGCCGTTGAGGACTCCTCACTAGCTGAGCCATGAGTTTGTCTGGGATTATAATGTGACAACAGTTTGTTATCTTCAGTCTCACATGCAACAATAAACACACCAAGCTAGATTCACTATCCTCTGGAGTTACTTTTCGAGGTTATATGGGTCCGTGCCTGGGAAATGTGTTTAAAAGACTCTCAGCTGTTATCGCTAGTTAAAGTGCACTGTCCAGTGCCTGCACCATGCATAAAAACACAGGGCTTAAAGTCTACAATATAACAACACTGTGTCAAAGAGTTCCTTCAACCTGAAAAAGAAAAAACATATGCAAAAGACTCCAGTATCCACTGAGACATACAAGGTCCCCTGCATGAAAAAGGAGAGTCACACGGCTATTTATACCCAGGCATTCAGATTAAAGAACAGCTTTAAAATGCCCAAACTGAACATTTAGTGTCTGAAACAGACCTTTGAGACACAGTGTCTTCCTAATGCATCTTATCTGGGCCTGCCGGCTCTTAAGCTGGAGCTCTGCCCTGGTCTAACAAAGCTTACATTTCACATACAGTGTGTGAGAGAGAGACCACCTCCAGCAGAAGAACTGCAGGGGCTTTTTTTCCATTAGTGCAGCTGGAGCACTGTGTGGCTCCATTGTTTAACCACAATGACACAGCTAGAGAGGAAATAAGTGCTGGTTACAGGAAAAAAAGCATGGGACCTTTTATACCCTTCATGGTCCGAGAGTTTAAACCTTCAGCTTGGTCACACTTCACTGCTGAAGCCAACCTGGATCAAACTGGCTGCTGTCCTCAGAGTCTACGATGTAGGTACGTTGAGACATATGGATACCAAGTACCAGAACACTCATCACTGCAATACATTGAATATTAAAAGAAATACCGACTGTGTGGTTAAAGTTCGGACGTTCAGCTTCACTGTGAGGCTGTTTATGTCCACTTCAGTTAAACAGAGGAGGCAGAGGCAGTGTTTTAGGCTTTGCAGCCCTGCACCCCCACCCTGATCACTGGGCCTCATGGACCCATTTCTCCTTAAAACACACCCATGTTTTCTTAATGGGGACTGTTCTTAGGAAAGAACAGTGCTGACGTGTTTGTGAGACACACCTGGTTGTTTAGTTTTCTTCAATTCTGTTTGATACAAGATTTAAACCATCATTAAATAGTTCCATTATTTTACTGAGTATTACTTAACATGAATAAACAGCCCAAAGCCACACTAAGAAGCAGTTATTTGCTCCTTTAAAATGTGTTTACAATGTGATTATTTACAGCTTAGAATAGAGAAAAGCAGCACTTAAAGACCAAACACGTTCAAGTGCATATCTTTATTTCTCCTGTTAATTTCTTTAAATGTTTCGGAGACCGTGGGCGGTGCTGAGGCCGCATGTGTACGCGCATGGTTGTCCAGCACCCCCTCTGAGATCCGACGTGGGGCAGATGAGCGGGACCTGGGTGCACACCTGGTGCAGCTCGGATGATTCAGGGTCAGCGTCTCTTCTGTTTGTCTTTTTGCTTCAGACTTTAGGTTCTTTTTTTTCTCATTTGGACATTCCTGACTTTCTCTACTTTTCTTACCAAGTGTGAGACTCCTGTGTGCGCACACGCCCCGCAGTCTCATCCCCTACTGTGGGGCTTGAAGGGGCGTTTACCTGTGCCAAATAGGAACGACTGGCAGGACCAATTAATTAATTAACTAGGTTAAGTGGATTCACCATTAGGAGCACAGGTCCGCACAACTGGTAAGAGTGCGGTCAGACGTAAACGTTTCTTAAGAACACATTTAAGAAAACACTTTTGATTGGCGAATGATGGACGCACACGTGAAGCCCGCTGTTCTGCTGCACTGTCCTAAAACTGAGGGAAGATGTACGAAAAAGGGCCACAAGTCTGAAAGTCGGCACTTTAACCTCAGCAGTCTCAAACCCATTGTGCCAGAGAGCAGCAACATCACTGATCACATTTTCTGCCCTGTACGCACAAACAGTTAAACATCAGTGAGTTTTCGTTTCTTCACTCACCTGCTCAACAACCGTTTCAAGCTGTCGAGCTGTTTCACCGTGGTCCTCGCCAGACGGCTGTCCAGGTTTACACACAGGATGTAGATAAACAACAAGGAGCCGATGGTCAAGACGCCAAAAACCAGCTTACTGCGAAGCGCCATCTGTGTGAGGGAGAGCGCGACCCCGGTTGGCACTGTGTGTGTGTGCTCGCCCCACACCGCGCCCCGCCTTGTGGACCATGAGGAGGCAGGCGAGGACACCGTCCCGCCCAGGCCACTAGTCTGTGGTCAACCAGAGGAGGACGCCAGTTGGCTGTGGCGGATTTAATTAGCGCACAACAGGATCCGGGCTGCGCTTTTCTCAATGTAGCTAAAGTGTGAGGGAGAAAGACAGAGAGTTGGACAAGGGTGGAAGGGGCAACCTTAACATCCAGTGCCAACAGAATCCCAAATAAACCCCTTTTAATGAAACCTTTCCTCACGCCACCAGACACAAAGCGGAGGATCACAGCCCTTCTCATCCCCTCCTGGTTTCACTGGTCTTGCGAGTTACAAAAGAAAATTAACACAGGTGAATGTAGAAGAATCACCCCCTCTAGCTGAAACCAGGCACCACAAGGGTTAAGTCAATTTAAACCGATCTAAATAAACAAGGGATGTCAGCTTGTGGCCAGCGACCAGCACGGGAAGTCAGAAAGACTCTGACAGGAGACGCCATGCGCGGACCCTGCCTGTGAACGCTGAGTCTCTGGGGGTGTGGAGAAGCTGAAGGCATTAGCCCTCCACCTCTCACTCCCCTGTCTGTAGTGTAATAGACACAGCCTGAGGCCAGACACAGACATCTGCTCTCTTCCCTCCTCTGAAGTCTCCAGCTGCTTTCTTAAATCCAAAGTGCTCAGCAACGATCGCCTAATAACTGTGAATCAGGGAGGTAACAGCAGCTGGTGATAAGGGAGACTACATGATGTAGTTTCCCAGGCTTGTGAGAGAAGGTGGCTCCTGGCTGAGGCTAACTGGAGAATGGAAGGAATGTGTTTTAGGATCCAGTGATAAACTCAGCCCCCATGTCTCTGATAACAGACATAGCAGGAAAACTTCTGCAGACACAAATAAAACACAGTATGTAGCTTCAGCAGAGATTTGTACCTGAAATAAACATCTCTGATATGGTTGAGAAACAGAACAATATATGAGGAAAACAAAACCAATGTCTCTGACAAAGGCTGACAAATTCTCACTCAGCCTTACTTCCTTTAGTCACAGCACTTGGCTCCTTTCTGTCT